AGAGAGGTCCCCACAGTTGAGAGAGGTCCCCACAGTTAAGAGAGGTCCCCACAGTTGAGAGAGCTCCCCACATGTTGAGAGAGCTCCCCACATGTTGAGAGAGGTCCCCACAGTTGAGAGAGGTCCCCACATGTGGCCACTTGGAGAACTCATGGGCCTTGGTTGTGGTGTTGAATGTGTAGGCTCTGAGCCGAGCAAACCTTGGCAACTCTGCCACATCGGGCTGTGCCGTGCCTCATCCTTCGCAGCTCAGAGGTCAGAGCCACACCTGGTACAGCGTGAAGGCCCCTGTACTCTGGTTTCAGCTTGCTCTGTCCACCTTCTCTTCCCATATTGCCCTCTCTCCACAGCCTGAAATGGTGTTCACTGAGAGCTGTGATGACGTGAGTGTATCTGTTCACGTTTTCAGAGGTGCAAGTGTTCATCTAATGCCTTCGGGTGGCCTGTGGGACCACAGCAGCTTCCTACCTCCAGGGACTCCTAGCCAGGCGTGTCCTTTACCAGCTCCAGATTATGAGCACCTCCCCCAGCTGCAGTCCATTCTTCCCCGTGCTCAGTTCCCAGAGCGCTTTGCCCGTGACTCTGAAGAAGCATCCGTTTGCTCTGCCTGCTGTCTCCACGGCTCGGTCGTAAAGTTCTTGAGAGCTATCGCTGTCCACTCTTAATTCATCTCTGTCTCCCATCGCGCCACCATCCCGGTCACTTGTGGATGACAGCAGGCTGCCCGGCCCTGCCTTTGATGGAGCTGTCGTCACCTGAGACAGCCACAGAGTGGTCTCTGCAGGTGCATTTTACACAGGTGAATTGTATGTCAATAAAACTGTAACAGCACCCCAAACCGTAGCAGTGAGGACAGGGGAAGGTGTGTTCTGCAGTCTGGGGTTCAGTGCCTATCCCAGCCATCTAGGCTTTTCCGGGAAAGAGATGTCCTTTGAGCCACCCCTCTCCACCTGGACTCACAGCCTTTCTTACACACTGTTTTTTTTCCAGGGGTGAATGAACGTAAATGCCAAGAGAGCTATATAAAGCCATCTTTTAAAGATGAATTTTTATGGTTCAGCTGCCTTTTTACTTCCCAAGAAAACCGAAGTGACTGCTGGCATTTGGCTTCCCACTGGGATGCCGCGCTAGCCCTTCGGTAGTGGTACATTCATTTATAAAGTCAGTCAGTCAGTCAGTCAGTCAGTGTTTCACCCCAGCATTTATGATGTGTCAGCGTTCTGACTCTGAAGAGGGGTAGATGTCTCTACTGCCAAGAAGTGTAGTTCAGGGGAGGAGCAAACCGGGTCAGAGGGAGCAGGCCAGTGGCTGTGACGGAGGTCTCCAAACACATCGGAAAGACCTTGCACTCAGCCACGGTGATAGAGAGAACCAGGAACGTGACTTACTAGACGGCAGGTAAGAGTTGGTCAGGAAGACAGGGAATATTGGGTCAAGGGGACTGTGTGGACTTCCGGGACTGTGCGAGTGTAGGCCAGGTATCAGGTGTGCAGTCTGAGGTCTGGCTGGAGAAGACAGGGGGCTTTAACCAGACAGAGGCATTTGGCCGTTACCCTGTAATGCCTGAGGAGGCCATCTTCATTATAGGAAGGTTGGTGGTGGTAAGATGGAAATTGGATTGAAAGCGGGTGAAATTGTGCCTGGGTGGACCCGGACAAGATTTAAGGGAGCTGGGTAGGAGGAGGATGCCGTGGAACTGAGGACATGCTTTGCCCTAAACTTTGTAGTGGATGATGATGATACCTGCTTTTGGCATAAGAGGCCCTGAGGACAAGACAGGTGCTTGCCTACATGAGCAGACCTAGACCATATACTGGAAAGTAGCGGGAGTGTGCCCCAGGCAGCGTGTCTGTATGCTGCCCCCTCCCCAGGACCATCACAGGTTGTGGGGTGTCATGGTCCATGACCACACCAGGCTGTCTCAGGACGGACTCCGGGAAGAGAAAGCCTTGTTGGTGTTGAAGCTTCTAATGGTGCTGGCAGTCCATCATGCCACACCATGGAAGGTAACACATTTCCACAGTGACCTCTTTCCTTGGATCCATTTCAGACATTTCAGAATTCACCCGTTAGCTAATTTCAGAGCTTCCATTTCAACTTTGCTCTGCCACCCTCTCCATGTCTCCTCTTCCAGGTCTGATCTCTGAATGCTCAGATTTCCTGGGGGGCTGTGTTAGAGAAGGCTTTTTCTGAGGCAAAGATCTACTGGGACCACCTATCCCAGTTCCCTGGGGTGCCACCCCCCAGGCCTCCCATGCTGCAGAACCCCCCAGGGAGAACAGTTGGTCAGGTGGCCTCGGGTCCCATTGTAGCAGTGGAGCCAGAACCTGTGAAGACAAAAGAACCGTTTCTCTCTGCTTCCCTGGGAGGAGAGTGTTGGGCCTTCTGCTTTCTAATGTCATATTGCCTCATGCAGAGCCAGGCCAGCCAGGAACTGTCTCACACCCTATTATTGCAGTGATAGCTAAGAGGCAGCCAAGCAGGAGGCTGGGCTTCCATTTGCCAGTTCGGGCTGATGGGTGTGGGGCTTGGAAGGCCCGTTTTCTTCAGGGAAGGGTGCTGGGATAGAGGAAAAGAGGAAGAACCTTCCAGGGCTGCTTTTCTGTGTCTCCTTTGCTTAAGAAGGCATTCTGTCTGTCCCTGCCTGCTTTCTTGCCCTGATGGGCCTTTGCCAAGACCGTCATGTAATCAAGGAATGTCAAACTGAAAGGTACAGTCCAGCTCCTGGTCCTGGAGAGCAGAAATCCATCTTCCAACACCTCCTGTCTCGAGCTTGGGGTGAGGCTCAGTACACTGCCTCCCCAAGCATTTCAAGTGGCCTCCTGACTGTATGTGTGTGTGTGTGTGTGTGTGTGTGAGAGAGAGAGAGAGAGAGAGAGAGAGAGAGAGAGAGAGAGAGAGAGAGAGAGAGAGAGAGAGTGAGTTTGTCACTACCAATGTTTCTCATTTGCGGACTGCAAAGCAGCTGTTCCTAGATAAAGTTTTCTGGTCCTTCCTCATTTATAAAGGAATGTCATAACGCTACCAGAGCTTGTTTACATCATAATTTTAATTTATATGTTTCTGTTTGTTTTATTATATCTTAGGCCCCATTGTAAAGTTTTTAAAGTGGCATAGAGATACAGGTATATTTAACATTTGCAGGTGCATTAAATTTAAAAATAGCAAGAAAGGAATATGTCTTAATTGCTTCCACTGAGAATTAAGCTTAGCATTTAGTGTCTTGAGAAGCCAAGAAAAAAGCTTAAACCATGAAGTGTGTTTTATAGCATAAGCCTGTCCATGTGACATGCCCCTGAACTCAGCAACTACAGTAGACGGTCCTGGAAGAGCTCGGGGACCCCTAAGGACTGCTCCCCTTAGGACCTGCGAGTCCTCACACAAACAGCTTAAAAGAGGGAGCAGTGTGAACAGCAGGCAAGTGACCGTGGTGGTGGTGGTGGTGGTGGTGGTGGTGGTGGTGGTGGTGGTGGTGGTGGTGGTGGTGGTGGTGGTGGTGGTGGTGGTGGTGGTGTAGGGGCCTCTGTGCTCTACCTCATGTCCCTCTGAGGACAGTTCTCGGAGGGATGGGTACAGGGCTAGAGCTGCCTTACTAAGTACATGTACCTGGAGCATACCCCTATAGTGGCATGTCCTCCTTCTGGAACCTTTCTTCTATTTTCTAGGAATGTCCCACAGCTAGGGTACCCACACCTAAGCGTCCATCTCAGATTCCATGCACTCAGATTCCACAGTCCCACAGCACTGTGATCAGGAACGGGCAGAAACCAAACAGCAGAGCATCCCCACGCCCCAGGGCCGGCCAGGACTCTGGTGTCAGCATCCTAGGAACAGTGTGTTAGAAGGGCCCCCTTTCCTTCTAGCCAGCTTAGTCTGCTCTGCCTCAAAGGCTGGATCTGGCTCTCAAAAGCTACCTGGGCTTCTCAGACCCTGGCTCCCTTGGTCTAGGCAGCCACTTTCTAGGTCTGCTTTCCTCCACGCTGTGACAACATTACCCAGCAGAAACACTCCGGGCAAGAGGGTTTATTCGGGCTCACAGTGTTGGGGGACTTCAGTCCATTCCAGGGGGAAGGTAAGGTGGCTGAGGCAGCTTCTGTGGTGACAGGAGTGTTAGATGAAAGCTGTGTATGACGAGATGGATGGGAAGCAGAGAGAACTGCCTGAAATGGGGCGGGGATGCCTTCAACAGCCTAGCCCTAGTGCCCGACAGCTGTCGGCTGGTCCCTACCGGTAATGGTCCCACAGTCTTCAAAACTAGGGGTCGAACCCTCAACCCACGAGCCTGCAGAGGACATAATGGGACATAATGAGGTCTGTCCCATTCGGGGTACAGGTGCCAGGGGAAGGCCGTCAATCGTTTGGCAAGAGTGCTCCAGTGAGTCCCTTAGCCTTTGGCGACAGCAGCCACACCTTTCTGTTCCCATATCCACACAGGAGGCCGCTCTTCTGCTCTCCGGTCACTTCTTAGGAGAAGGGTCTGTGGTGTAATTGGCCCTCTCTCTCCATCTGCAAGCAAGGTCTGTGGTCTAGACCTACACTTCTCAGAGTGAGTTCCAAAGAGCCCCAATTCCCAATTGCAGATCATGCCTCTGGGGAAAAAAAGGATTTCGTGATCAAGCAATCCTGGGAAGCTTGGATTATGTACACAGTTGCCCCCACACCCATACACACAGGAATGCTAAAATCCACGGGTGGCCAAGTCCCTTATGTAAAGTGGCATCGCTTTCCTTATAACCTACCCACTCCCCACCCCACCCACACATGAGGTCACTGAAGGTAGGTATAATATTCAGCATGGGGCAGTGCTGTGTCTGTAATGGGTAGGTTGCACTGTGTAAAGACAAGGAAAAAAACCCATGTGTCAATACAGTACAGGTTTGGGTTGTTTGTTTTTTCCTCTTCTATTTTTCAATTTGCATTCAAATTAACCAATGGACATTGAACCTGTGAACGTGGAGGAGTCCCCCAGAGGTTCAGATATGTGAACACTTGATCCTCAGTTGGTAGCACTGTGTGGTGAGGGTGCAGCCTCCTGGAGGAAGTGCATCCCTGGGGTGGGTTTTGAGAGTCCATACTGGTCACCTTCTGGTCTTCTCTGCTTAAAGCCTGCGGTTGGAGGTGGGACTGATCTCTAGCTTTCGGCTTCTGCTGCCATGCTCATCAGTGGTTCAGCGTTGCCCACAGCTGCGGTGGACTCCTTGCCCTTTGGAACCCGAAGCCAAAATAAATAAACTCTTTTTGTTTTTGTTTTTCAAGACAGAGTTTCTCTGTGAAACAGCCTTGACTGTCCTGGAATCCTCTCTGTTTAGACCAGGCTGTCTTGAACTCAGAGATCCACCTGTCTCTGCCTCCTGAGGCTGGGATTAAAGGTGTGCACCACCACTGCCTGGCTCAAAACAAACTCTTTTATATGTGTTTTATCACAGTAACAGAAAAGTAACTGATGAATTGTTCATTAGATCCAGGTCACTTCTGTCCTAGACACTTGTTTTTCTAAGGCTGTAGGATCTGTGAAATCCCAGGGCCCCAGGCTTTTGAAGGACACTGTGCTCTGTGTGCTGTTGGTTACGTTCAGGCCAGGAACCAGCACCTAAAGCCTTACTCTCTGGCAGTGGGCATGCCAGGGTCCAGGAAGGCAGGCTGTGGGTTCCTTGCAGTGGGTTCTGGGGGTGTTTTAAGATACAGTTGAGGCCCTGCCTCGGAATCTACTATCGTGCTTAATTGGTCTTAGAACTATCAGCTCGCCAAGCCATCTGTCACAGGAAACCTGAGCAGCGCTGCAAGTCCATTAATAATTCAACTGGCGAGTGTCCTCAGACACAGCCCTTCCAGCCTCTGAGCGAGTTACAGCCCTTCCAGCCTCTGAACTCGCTCATCGTCATCTGCCTCCAGAAATGTCCCTGTGAGAGTTCTCTGTTACACAGAGATGCTAATGATTCACACAGTAGTGCTTCTTGCTCTCCCAGAATCCCCTAAACCTCAGCAGTTGGAAGAGGAATGATTGATCTAGTCTAATCCCAGTCTAATTACATCATGCACCTTGGTGGTGGTGGGTTTGGAGAGCAGGCCAGTCAGTGACCTGTTAGTGTTTGAAGATGTGATCTCTTAGCTTCCTGTATCTGCCACCAACAGAAGGTTGTCCTGGGGGGTGGATGCTGATGGCATGCTTCAGGCAAGCCCTTTGTTCTGGAGAGTAAGGTCTCATCCACTGTGAAGAGTGGGGACCCTCTCTATTCTTTCCTTGCCTTCAGATTTCAGAAGAAGGGGCTCTTGAAGTTTGAGTCTTGCCTAAAAATATTGGTGGAATTAGTTCAAACTGCCTGGATCTGGTTCTCATTCCCATTTAGTAGACTAGTGGGCTGTCACCTCTGAATGAGAACATGGGCATCATCTGTTGATGAGAACATGGTCTATTTCACTGGACCAAAGTGAGAAGAGTCAAGGTCACCTCAGTGGTCTTTTGCAGAGCTAGGGAGATGCCCAGGCTCCTGACTCACAGCCCCAGTTTCTTGTGTCCGAATACCTGAATTCAATGTCCTTGGCACAGTGGTGGTGCTCTTATTTCCCTAGCCCTGGGATGCCAGGGGGAGCATGTTGATAGGCAGGCAGGCAGGTTTTCTGCATGCTAACAGTAGTTAACAATGTAAAATGACAACTTTCCTTCCTCACAGCTTTTCCCTGCTATTTTGTGATGTTTGGCAGCTGCCTCTTCAAATTCTCCAGCTCTTACTATGGAATTGAGCCTGGTCCTTAGGGAAGGGTTGTGGAAACCAAGCCTTCTCATCTTAGGAGATACAATGTTCTGTAGAGCCTGGGAGGAAGGGGCAGAGCTTCCCTTCACCCATCTGCATTTTCGCCTCCATCCCTTGGGCTTCTTTAGACACATGAAATAGAACGAGTTTCTGTGTCCGTCCCCGCCTCATGTTGAAATCCTAACTCTGGAGATGATGGTCTGAGGAGGCAGGGTCTTTGGGGGATCATTGGGCCATGAGGGTGGAATCCTTGTAAGGGAGATTTGCACTTAGAAAAGAGACCCAGAGCTCCCTCACCTGCCTTGCTCTGAGGACATAGAACAGTTGCCTGTGAACTAGCAAGGAGCCCTCACCAGACACGGAGGCCACCAGTGCCCTGATCTGGGACTTGCCAGCCTCCAGGACTGGACAACACCTTCGATTATCACTCTCTATTCATTGACTGCATTCAAGCCTAGAGAGGGGTAACCACCTGCACAGCGTCAGAGGGCCGGTTGACAGCAGACTGTCATGGAGCATCTCTCTTCTCCCCACTGATCTGACTCTCAGCTACAGGCCCTCACTGTTTCTGTTTGGTGTGTTCTGTGGGACAAGATGAATTCTGAGCTGCAAGCCTGAGAGGTGAAGGAGTTCAGAGGAAGCTTCGCTTTGGAATCTAAGGAGCTCTGCAGGGTTAATGGGACTTGACAGTGGGGTGTGGGGACAGATGGGATGGGAAAGCGAGCAGACTGCTCAGGGTGGCTGCCTCCTAACAGTCTGGAGGTGTGAAAGCCAACATGCTCTGCCGAGGCACATGGTGGAGTCAGAGTCGGTCAGGATTGTGGCATGTTCTCCACCACCCTGGATGCAGAGATTTAGGCCTCTCTGGTTCTGATTAGGCAGAACTTGTCCCAGCCTTTAGGCCTTTCTTTGAATTTTGAGCTTGGGTGGTAGGTACTTGGCTATTGTTCTGTCCCTAAGGCTTAGGCAGATGTAGCCCACAGGGCCAGGTGGTACTGTAAAGGGAAGGCCACATCCTCTGGTAAAGAAGACACATGGGACCAGTTCAGGACCCAGCAGTGGAGACCCTCAGTGGCTCGGTAAAGCTTCTTGTGTAAAGCAGTCTGGAGGTCCAGGTAGGAGGGGCCAGTGAGATGGCTCAGGGGGCAAAGGTACCCACTGCCAAGCCTGACGGACAGCTTGAGCTCAATTCCTGGACCACATGGTAGAAGGATAAAACTGGCTCTTGCAAATTGTTCTTTGACCTCTAGACACATGCTGTGACACAGCTTCACCCACACGCCAAATGAATGAATGAACGAATGAATGAATGAATAAATGAATGAACGAATGAACTAACAAGTAAATACGGAAGCACGGGTGGCCTGAGCCGGGAGTGGGCTCTAGGCATTTAGACCCCAAAGGAGCATCTCAAAGCTAAGGCAGCAACAGTGGACACAGCTCACAGGCCCTAAACCTGTAGCCTAGCTTCCTGCACCTGCCAGAAACCTCGCAGAGTGGGAGCAAGCAGAGCCTGACTGTGTGCATCCGGGAAGGGAGTCCTGGGACTCTTAGCTCTGTGGAGCTTAGCTGGGGCAGCATGTGGGAGCTGTGCCAGTCCAGGCCTTAACCCTCCATGGTCTAGCACAGCCACTGTCCAGAGCTGGCCTCATCCTGCCCTCAGCGCCCAGAGCCTAGACAAGGGGATCTGAGCATAACCTGAGGGAGCCTGACGGGAGAACACTGCAGTAGGTACTGAGGGATTGCTCTCACAGGGACTGGGCCCAGTGAGGCAGGTGTCTGGAGCATGTGTAGCATTATCAGGTGCTCCCTATGTGCCAGGTGCCATGCTCAGCACGTCATGTGCAGTGTCACGTGATCTTCACCGTTAGTCTAGGTTTGGTGTTTATATTGCCCCATTTTCCTGATGAGAAAATAAAGACGGACTGTTCATACACACACCTAAAGCCCCGCCCAAGTACCTGATGAGGTAGAGCCAGGACTCCAAGCAGGGCCAAGACTCCTAACCAGGCTTTTCTCTGGCTGGTTAGAGGCCCTGGAGCAGCAGAGGGGCAGGTGTTGGGAGAAAAATCCCCTAGGAAGATGGGACTGACCTTTGCTGGACAGGGCTCTGTCCTCCTATGAGCAGATCATCCCGTCCTTGGGGCCTTGCTGTTTGCCTTAGAAATCTAAACTTTTCAGAAAGGGAGAGAGGCTGACCATGTGAGTGTTGACTGGAACATGAGCCCAGAGAAGCTGCCAGTGCCCAGTCACCCCGCAGGAATCCTCAACTGCCCAGCAGGACCTCCCCTCCCTGAGGTTCCGAGGTCCAGGGACAAAGCCTGCTGCCACAGTTGTCCCTAAGCGGCCAGCTGGCAGCCGATGGCCCCTCTCGTCCCTTCCTCCTTCAGCGGGAACCCCTGCCTTGCTGCTGTAACTGCAGAGCCAGCTCCCCGGTATTGTTCTTGGATGCCTCCCTGTGATCCTAGGGCCTTTGGGGAAAGAACAAACAGCTAGGAAAACACGGGATCGTTGAAACATGTTTGTGAAGTCTGTGCTGCGGGGAACAAAAGAGGCATTCTGAGACTCAGCACTGTTCCGGCCAGGGAGGGCAAAGCAGCCTTTGAGGTCTGCTCTGGACTCTGCTCCATGGGGTCCAACTGAAATGCAGCTAGGGACGCACGCTGCCTGTGTCCCCAGTGCCGGGCGCCTCCCCGCTGGAGGGGCTGGAGCTGGGTTAGACCCTAATCCTTCAAACCTCCCGCACTTTGTAGCTCACTCCTTTTCTGGTCAGTAGACAGCAGCCGGTGCCATTGCCCGGCCGGCCGGCTGCCTGAGTCGAGACACCCGGCTCTTACGAGACACCTTTGATTGTCTGTGCTGAGCAGAAGTGAGGAGGTCATACTTAAGAGAGAAATTATGATTCTCCTGGTGACGGGGTGGTTCTCCGTGCTGGATCGTGTCTCCATTTGATCAAAACAAATCTGAGGCTGCAAGCTGGGAACTGGCGTGCGGCTGCCAGCAGAGCCGTGAAGAAGTGCAGCACCCCTCAGATGCCGCTGAACTGAGGGGACCGAGACTAGAAACCTCACCCCCATCTCTTTGGGACCCGCCAGGGACCCGCTGTTGTCTGTGTCCATGAAAGCTTTCTCTAGGAACGTCTCCAGGCCCAGCCTCTTGAATCCTGAGGGCAGAGGTTTAAGTCCGCGGTTCCTGGCTTTCCTTTCTCCCTGGAGGCCTAGGCCAGTCTGTAAAGGTGCTAGCCTGCCCAGTAGTGGGTGCCAGCCCGCAGCCCCCCCATTGATCATGAGGAAGCTGTGTTCCGCTTGTCTTCTGGAGGACAGCATGCTTGCACCTGGTCGTCTTCCCTGCCCCAGTCAAGGCTGTGCAGGCTCAGTGATGTCGCAATGGTATGGCCTGGAGCCTAAAGCATTAATATTTCTCCAGGAAGGGCTGTGTGCCAGAGAAGGGTGGGAAGGAGCCCAGGAGGGATGCAGTTGTGCCCACCCATGTCCTGTGACAGCAGTGGGGGGGGGCAGTCGCCTTTCTTTAGAGGATGACATTTCCCCTTGAGGTTTCAGGCTGCCTCTACCTCCATCCCACGCTATCCCATGTCTCCTGCACACGCTTGGAGGTAACACCAGTGTTCCTTGGGGCGTTTGCCTGTATCCTGTCCAAACTGCTGTTTCTGAGGATCAGCAGCTGCCCTGGCACCAGGAGATGCAGGAGGTGGTGCCCAGCAGCTGCCCACAGGAAAGTGGGGCTGTTGAGCTAAGATGAGAAAGTCGGGGTAGCATCTCTGTGTCCAGTGGGAGAGAGATCGCACATTTTCCGAGTGATCATGGTGCAGGCTGGAGCAGAGTGGATACCTGAGGAGGGCAATTCAGCAGCAGCAGAAGGAACTCTCTGGAAGGCATAGTTCTCAGAAAATAGATGTGTTGTCCAGAGGGAACTACTCCCACAGAAATTCCCCCGTGTTACTCTTAGAAAACTGCGACACAGGGCCGAGAGAGCGTCTCCCCGAGCACTGTGGCCCAGGGTGGCCATCTTTATGTGCTGAGGCCTCTAATTAGAACCCTTCCCTATGGCCTGTAACAATGAGAACTGAGCCCAGCCAGAATCTCAGAGAGGAAGAAGGCAGCCTCCCACCCCCCTCCCGTTTCTGCTGCTGTGGACCTCAGCGTTTCTCCACGTGCAGAGGGTGCTGATGTAGGAGCCCAGCCCATCGAAGTTGCTGTTGGAGGGGAACTGCTGACTGAGCACATCTGGTCTGCCAGGGCTGTGGCTGTTCCTTCCAGATGGTCATGAGAGAGGAGAGAAGGTAGTGTGGATGACATCTCCTGTCCAGATTCAAGAGAACCTTGCAGACAGTGGGAACAGTTGGCAGAGAGCAACTGCCTTTGTGAATGCAGTGAAGGGGGTGGGCGAGGGGATGCCTTAGTTCCATGTCACCTGTAACCCTCTTCTCCTCTTCCCTTCCACATAACTCACTGTAATAACTCAGAATCCTCTACACATTGATTTTTGCTTATAAAATCCATCTACAGTTGTAGTCATTTAGATACACACAACATACATGTGCAAGCTCCCTTAAATAACACAGCTGGAGGCCCATTCATCACCCTCCCTGGGTGTTGCTTTTCTGGCTCATCAATATTTCATAAAACATCTCTGGAGTTAGCTGGTACACCTCGTATTTCATTCTTATTTATTCTGCAGTATGGTAGCCTATATTTTATTCAGCCATTCTTATTTCCGTGAGCATTCACTTTGCCTCCGGTTTTTTATTTAATTTATAAATAATGTCATTATTTATAAATGTGTTTGTGTGTCTTTGCGAATTACTGTTTTTATTTCCCTGGAGCAAATTCCAAAGAGTAGGGATATTGAGCTTACGTGTAAGTATATTTATAATTTTGATAGATAGTTCCAGATTGTTCGTCCCATAGACCACATTAGTTTTCATTTCCATTTTCATTTCCAGTCTATGCAGCCACCTCTTTCCTGCCCACTCTAGCTCAGCTGTCATGTTCTGCTTAGTGCTGGCCTGACGTGTGGGCAGTGGTACCTCATTGCTCTGTGGATTTCCACATCTTTTACTCAGTGAGTCTCAGCATCCTTTCTTAAGACAGTCAGCAGTTTGAACTGTTTTTCCACGAATTGCCTGTCATGTTCTTTCTGTTCCTCTCCCAGTGTTCCTGAAGTGAGAAACCGTGGGGCCATGGGTGTGTACAGATGTGTTACCTCCACTGCCTTTAGCTGGATGTAGTGGCTACAGCTCTCAAAACTGCCCCTTCTCCTTCCCTTCAGCAGTTTTTAGAGGCCACAAAAAACAGGGAGTCATACCATGTCCTTCTAAAGGGAAAGACAGTGGAAAATTAAGTTAGGAACAGATGCAAGCCGATAGGTGGGCCTGCTGTTAGTTCCTGCCATTTCTGTTTTCTGTGGCCTCGGACACGTTCCACTACCGCATGCTGCTGTGAAGTAAGGAGACACTTGGCCAAGCCGTAGTGTCGCATGCTTTTAATCCAAGATCCACACTTGGAAAGCAGAGGCAGGTGGATCTCTGTGAGTTCAAGGCCAGCCTAGTCTACAGATAGAGTTCTAGGACAGGCTCCAAAGCAACACAGAGAAACCCTGTCTCACAAAAAAAAAAAAAAAAAGAAAGAAAGAAAAAAAAAGAAAAGAAACAGACACTTGATGTTGTAACTGATTTGCATGGAGTTTACAAGCTTGCTATTCAAGGTATGGGCTGGAGAGCAGAAACAGACTCTCAACCCTCCCCAGAACTGCTGATTCAGAGCCTACAGTTTAGTGGGCCCCAAGGTGATTAGTGAGCACAGACCTGATGGACTATATCACCCTCTCCCTTGAGTGGCAGGGATACACGAGTTTAAGAAAAGTCACTATACCCAAATCCAGTTGCTTTCCCTGGGGCTGAGGCATGTAGTCCTACCAAGTGCAGACTAATGAGTGACCCGCCCCGGGGTAACCACTGCCGTACGTTGCAGTCCTGGGTGTTGGGCCACCCTGACACTCAGTCCCCTGCACTCTTCTGTGTGACCCAGGTCATTGCCAACACTGTTAACCTGTCCTCGATCTTTCTAGATGCTGGAAGCAGCTTTGACATCACTAGTTTTCCCATTGAACTCGTCCTATCAGATCTGCCTTCCCTCTGACCAAATACTATTGCTCACCCTCTAGGTAAACGAGTCCTGCCCTGGCATTGATCTGGTTGACCTATACAGACGGTATCCCTCCTCAACCTTGAGCTTGATTGTCTTAGCTCTCAGATGAGAATCTACAGGGCCATCTTCCAAAAAAGTATGTGAGGAAGCTACAATTTTACTCTTGACAAATGAATCTTCTGCTTCCCCTTTAAATAGCAATGTTCCCAAACATCTTTGTACCATGGCTACCATGGCCTTTGAGAAGTCTGTCTTACCTGGCATGGTTTATCATCCAGGGACCACTGTAGGAAAGAGAAAAGGCCCAGGTATGTTAAAGGGGAGTTTAATCCTGGGAGTTGGGTGTTTACCATATTGTCTGCAGGGTTAACCAAGGACTCCTGGCTGGTCGTCTGGATGACTTCCACACTGTACAGAAGCAGCCTCACAGCTGGAGGGTGGCCTCTAAATTGAGGTTGAGGCTTTTAGATAAGAGGCCACTGTGACCACCCTACTTTTCTAATAGCCAAGGAGCTACAGCATGAACTCTAGGTTCAGGGAGGCCATGACTGGTCCTGACCAGCATGTCTTGACAGACAGAAGCTGCATTCCCACCTCGTATGCCACATCTGATTTCTGACTAGAACTTGGCCCACAGCCAGAGCTGCAGCTGCCCAGAAGTCCAGACAGTGAACATATCCCCATTCAAGGTTTTCACTAGGATGATGAAAGAAGAAAGAAGCTAATCACACACCTCAGCTGAGTAGAATTTTGACAGTTAGAAATGGATGCAGCCTCCCTTCAGCCCAAGGAGGTTACCGTAGACTCCAAGGGAAGCCCTGGTCTCTTCCCAGAACTGGCTTCTTCGTCTTCTGCAGGCATCAGCCCCACTGTACCAGCAAGGGGACCACACTGCCCCTCCTGTCTGCTTCCTAAGATCTCACAGTGCTGCTGCCTTCCTGGGGGACTTCAGAAGCAGCCCCTGCTTTCACTCGGTTCATCTTGACTGTGCAGTGACAGACCCGGCAGAGGGTCTACACTGCTGTAGTATAGCGCCTGTACAAAGTGTGTGTGTGTGTGTGTGTGTGTGTGTGTGTGTGTGTGTGTGTGTGTGTGTGTGTTTATGTACACACACACACACACACACACACACACCTTTATCGTGTAGAGTGACAACCTGGCAGAGGTTCTGTACTGCTCTGGCTTAAGGGCCTGTGCCAATTGTTTGAGCTCACTGAGACTTGGTCCAGCTCTGGTCTTCAGTATTGAGCATGTGAAGTCCTCCCAGCATGGTAATTAACAGGAAGTAAGTGTTCACTGCCTTGGACATGGTTGCATACTACAAGGGCTTTGGGGGACAAATGCA